ATCTGCAACTTCAATTTTGTTATGAGATGTCAGGATCAGTTCTTCAAGTTCAATGCTACGGTGGTGATTCATGTTAGCTCGTTCCTCGTATTCAGAACATTTCCCAATTGTGGTTTTCAGCTCCTTCTCCAGTTCCTCGTGCTGCAAAGTCGACTGCTGTATTGCAGATTCCAGTTGCAGTACCTTATCCTGGTATTCCTGCTTTTGTTCATTCAGTTGCTGCTTTTCCTGCTCAATCTCGATCAACTTTGTACTAAGTTCTTTTATTTTCTCAGATAATTCAGTCGCTTCCCTCTCGACATCATCGTTTTTCAATTGTAACAAATTTAGCTGTTGTTCAAGCTCCACATTCTTTTGTTCGGCTGCTATAAATCGAGTCTCGAGTTCTCTTAATTGCGATTTTGCATCTTCCGATGAGGCAGTTGAAGATCGGACAATTTCCTCAAGTTCACGATTCTTCTGAGTGGCAGATTGAGCGACAATTCCAGTTTCATTATGGAGATCCTCTAAATTTTTCAACTTCTGTTCCAGCTCCTTATTGTTGGACAGAGCTTGGGATAAAAGAGAATCAGCTTTTCCAAAATTCTCATCAGAAAGCTTCAGTTTTTCCTCTAGACTGTTGCATAAATCTTTCATTTGTTTGGCATTGCTAGAGAGATCTGCTACAGTCACTTCAAGCTCTTCTTTATCTTTGATAGCTGCTGAAAGTTCCTTTTGGGTATCAGAGATTTGTGCTTCCAGAATTCTTAGAGCAGATTCAGCAGATTCTTTTTGGTTACTTTCTTCCTGAAGCTTCAATCTTATTTCTTCCAGTTCAGAAACCTTTACACGAAGATCCTCTTTAGATGAAGCAAACTGGCTTTCAACGGCTGAGATATCTTCCTTGATCTTAGATTCGGAAGCCCTTCGGGCGTCCAGTTCTTGTGTTAGTTCTTCAACCAAACCTTCCTTCGTAGAAAGTTTCTTCTCCAAGTCTAGCACTTGAGATTTTGAAAGCTCTAGATCTCCCTGGACAGCAAAAAGCTCAGTTGCTGCAGTTCTAAGTTCTTCTTTTACCTTTTGGCTTTCAGCAATCTCGTCATTTAAGTCCTTGATTTTTTCTTGCAGGGAAGAGATTTGATCTTCTCTTTCTTTTGCACTCAGTCTTTCTGATTCAAGAAGCCTCTCAAATTCTAATGCTTTTTTAGCCTCAGATTCAGCATTCAAGCCACTTTGTTTGTGAAGCTCCTCAAATTTCAAAGTTTCATCACCAGAGATCTTCAGTTTTTGTTCCAACTCTTGAATCTGCTTGCGGGAATTCTCAAAATCATTTGTCAAACTATCAAATGCTTCTTTCACCGCTATCAACTCCTTGTTCTTCGCTTCTTGAGCTTGCAGTGCCTCTTGCAAACTGTTGAGCTGCGAACTATATTTATCTTCAGATTCAACAATCTGCTCTTTCGATTTCTTGTGATCGAGTTCAAGCACTTCAAACTTCTTTTCACTTGCCTCAAGCTTCTCCTTCGTGAGTGATACCTCATCCTGTAGCCTTGAATTCTCTGACTCTAAATGCTTCAAACTTCCAGCTAATCTCTCAATTTCAAGCTCAAGATCTCTCGACTTCTCTTGGGCCTCCAATAATTCTCTGCTTGAATTGCTTGAACTTCTTTCAACAATAGTTGGTTTATCCTCCTCTGCGGATACTGTTTTGGCTGGATGAGTATCCTTCGCCTCCAGAGGCTCCTTTTCTACTTTTATGAACTCACCGCCCAGAGCATTGTCCTCCTCTTCGCTCTTAATATCTTTTCCTACTTGAGTTACATCCCCATTCGTGACCTGTCATAAGATTTGGGAAACCGTGTATTTTTTAAATCAAGAACTTCTAAGTTTTGGTGATTGTAATTTTTGTACGACATTTGCAGACCTACTTAATTGTTTGCATTATATCAAGTTCAGATATGTACTCATCCAAGCTCATGATGCCACAACAATAAAAGGTTTGCTTTTGATAGAAAGGAAAGACAAAATCAAAGAAATTTGTACACATAACATGCCAGAATTAGGCAATATTTTCAACCATGCTAAAATTACGAGAGACGGTAAAGAAAAACCGTTTCAACATAACATACACTTTGTCAACTGATTCATCACAAAAGAAACCAATAAAGATTGCATGCACGACCTTAGCAAATGCCCGAAATTGCAATTCTATTCCAAATACGTTTATATCCACATGCATGTGCTTGTGTTTGATTAGTTTGGGAAAACTGCAACATAATGCTGCAGATATGAGACACGAATTACAATAAATGCCAATTTTCTTTATTTCTTTTAATACTTGGAAAGTTTTATACTAGCAAACGTATCTGAAAAGTGAAAACTTATCGACAAAAAGATAATAATAATAATAATAATCTATCCAAAAGCAAAGAGATTCTTCAAGTGTCGGTGATTGATTCCAGATAGCCATCAAAGGCATGAAAAACATGAATTAAATGGCGCTATAGATATCAAGAGGTGGAAATTCCAATCTCTAGCTTTTGTTCAATAAAATATGAAAGTGAACATGTTATGTAAATGCCTACACACACAGATAACCATTGTTGCTAAATTATTTATCCTGCTTCAGTCATCAAGCTCAAACCACACTGAAAGCTATTAGAATAACTCAAGAGAACTGGCATGCCTTACCTTATCACCAATGGCATCATTTCCAGAATCGTCAGCCACCTTTGTAATTGGAACTTCCGAACTCTGAGGTGCGACTTCCATAGATGTACTATTCAGCTTTATCTATAATATCAAATTTGACAGGAAAAAGGGAAGGTCAATTTTAGTTCGCACATAAAGTTCTGTTTTCTTTTAAGTTTAGTATATTAACGGTTCCTTTCAAAAAAATGGTAAGAGTATTTTTTTTAATCTTTTCTGAAAGTTTAAAAGATTAATAAGACTTTTGAAATTTTAACATATTTTTTAAACAAAACACAAAGTTGAGAAATATTTTCTTTAATTTAGACTATAATTTTACAGAGGAATAAAAATGATGATTTTTTTTAATGTGTGTGTTTGTATATAGATAGCCTATTATTTTATCATGCCATTTCATAAAAATTTTGTGTCACTTCAAGGGAAAGAAACAAGACATGCTAGGAACAAACATGAGAGTAAAAAAATGTTTAAATGCTAATAAATGCAAAGCAACAAAGTAGGGGTCATATTTTCTTTTCGTAAAGATATTTTTTAGAAATAATTTTCTCAAAAGATTCAAAACCATTCAACAGCTAAGAAAGAACTATAAACTACAATTGCCTAAAAAAAAACCTATCAGCTAACAGTTGTATGATTTATTTATTTCTCTGGAGCAGTATAAATTATAAACCAAAAACAACTTCCAACCAAATTGGTGGGCCCCAGGAGCATTATTTTTTGTGTTAAACAAGCTTTCAATTAAAGTAGAAGCCAGGACCGTTGGTTGCGAATGGGACCCATTGGATTTACCACTTGCCATCAAATCAAACGAAGGAACGTTGTCCTCAGAATCACAGAAACCGAAATCAGCCTAAATATGGAGCAGATGAGATCAGACGGTGGGAAATGAACATTTGTTTTATAGAAGATAGCCGAGTGCTGGTTTCCGATAGGCAACAGCAACACCACTATCAGCAAACGCGTTAGTCTCTCCCTCTGTTGGGACGCTCAATCAAAGCCGTCCAAATCACTCACCTTTTTCTTCTATTTTTTCCATTTTCTATTTATAGTTCTCTCGCCAAATTACGACTTGGTCCTTCTCTCCTTTTTGAAATTACATGACATTTCAAACTTCGGGACCGAAAAAAGGCAAGGGTTTTGTCAAATGATATCATAACGGCATCTTATTTATTTACGGAGTCCACTACTTTATTTACCGACTGTAAAACATATTTAACTTCTTCCCAGTCCTTTAATTTAGTTAATTTACATTTTTTTTTCGGAAGAATTTAATTAATTAACCATTTCGATAGAAAATTAATGAATACTGGGGGGACTGCAATTGACATTTATCTGACAAGGTAATCCACGTCATCATGTTGAGGTTCTAAACCCATGCCAGGTGTCTATGTGTCAGATATTTAATTTACATTATTCTTATGTTTTAGCTTCTACCTAATCACACAGTGAAAAGCAGCGAAACAGAAGCTGGAGGGACGAAATTGGGCAAATAAACTCAATTTTCTGGATTTTTATTCTTGTAGAGATCTAAAAATGGAGGTGGAATTCTATTTAGATGGAAATTGAAAGATCAATTCAACTGTTTGGGAGGAATGATTCTCTTGATGTCACTGAATTCTTCCATACCGATGAATCAGAGAAAAAAATCCCAATCCTTAGGTCAAAGGTATCGAATCGATTATTTGGTGAAGAGTAAAGGCAAAAAGGAAATCTCAAATGATCAGAAATTCCACCTTGATACTTGAGAAATCGATGAATTAATCTGATGCAGAATTCATCCTAAAGTTGACTTAACAGTCACTAAACACACCGATAATACCAAATTCTAAATTCAGAAAAGCCGAATCCAAAGAGAAATGAAGCAGGAACATAGAATGATCAGAAGAAACCACAAGTCTCAGTATTGAAAACGAGATTGAATCAGATCAAATCGCAGTAAAAATCAGAAAACAAGCAGAGAATTAAAGAGAATCTGAAGAACATCAACAGAACGGCCTTTCAACATCTATAAATCGATTCACCACTACACAACAAGGAGATCGATGCACAGAATATAACAGAATAAACTCAAATCAAACACAACTTCACCGATCTTCAAATGAAAAAAAAAAAAAACATAAGTAAAAAAAGAGAAGCAAGCGGAGGAGAATGAAGCAGATGCAGAAACTAACAGTGTAGCAAAGCCAGCAGAGAAGTCAAGCAAGACGAAACGCGTAAACAAGAAAGCAAGATGATAAAAAGAGAGAGAGAGAGAGAGAGAAGGAGAGAAGGAAGTCCAGTTACCTGAAATCTTGGTCGGATGTTGCGTTTTCGATACGATTCACCGTGAAAAATGGGGGGACGGCGGAGGAGATGCTGATAAAGGAGGATGGTCAGAGAGAGAGAGAGAGAGAAAGTCTTTTTGTGAATGAGTTTTAGAATGGACTTGAATTATTAATAATATGTTTAATATAAATATTAAAATAAGTTTTAAATTAACGATGTGGGACCCACGAGGTGGGGTCCGTAACAGCAAAGAGAAAGGATTAGAGCAGCCGCGTTGGATGTTTCATCCTTTAACCCCTAAATTCGAGTTATATTACAACCGTACCACAGCCACCCTCTCTAATTTTGTATTTTATTTAAATTACCTTTTTAGCCCTCACTTTATTTACTTTCGTCTATGCTTTTTATTTAAAAAAAATAAAATAAAATAAAAAATTGGTTGTTTTTTGGACTCACTCCTTACTATATAAAATTTTGTAATTTTTCAATTAATGAATATTAAAATTTGCCAAATTAATTTTAGAAATTTACAGAATTAATTAATTTCATTTAAAAACTTTTTTTTTTTTTTGGTCAACCATTCAATGTGGTATCACGTAAAAAAATTTAATTTAATTTTTTTAAAATGATATGAATTTAATTGAAAAAAAAAAACATATCCTATTGTTCATATTTATATTCGTGGATTCCTTTCTATAAACATTTATTTTTAACATTACTAATTAATATTCTGTTTTAATTGCTTGTATTAAAAAAAAAAAGTTTGGTTACATAAAGTAAATATGAATGGGACATTAAAAAAATTTGAAATCTTATTTGATTAATAACTTTAAATTTTTTTTATTTCAAATACTTTAATGGAGAGAACAGGCGATGGTCATCAATGGACAACAATAAAAGTTAGTGACCATCGACAACAGACGATCATGGTGATTATAAACAAAGTTGGATATTGGAGATAACAGTTAATAGTAATCACCAATACCTATCGACAGTGAAAACAGTTTTAATAAAGTAAATAAAGTAAAATAGTGTGAAAATATTGTAATTGTATTCTTATATCATGAAGCAATTGAATTAAATATTTTCACTCATAATAACTTATATTTTAAATTAATTTTTTAACAACTTTTCATTTTTTATATATTTTTTTATAAATTAAAAATCACATTTTACATATCTAACAATCATTTTAAACTAACATTTAATGACATATTTCAAATGCACGTGATAAATATAAATAAATATTATAAAATTTGAAAACTTTTGAATCTAATAATTAAGAATTGTGAAATAAATTTTTTATTTTTAATTTATTATCTATTAAATCAATCACATGTTCACTTGGTTAAATAGATTCAAGCATTTAAAAAAATATCAACTAAATTATAAAAAATGATCAAGTATTAAATAAAAAAAATCATCCATTTATTAGATACAAAACAACAAATTTATAGAATTATTACAAAAATAATAATAATAATAATAATTAACACTTAAAATCTATTAAACAATTAAATATATATATATTAAACGCAAAATAAATAAATAAAAATTAGAGATCCTTTGTTGTAACATCCTCAAAGGTCTTTATTGTCTTGGTTTGGTTTGTAAGCATTTGTCGGACGATGAAAACTTCCAAAGATGTCACGTGGAGTATTTTTTTTTTTTTTTTTTTTTAAA